TATCAAACTGAGCCAAAAGACCCCGTTCACCGACTCTGTCAAACCCATATGTCTGCCCCAACGTAATCGCGACTACGCGGGACAGTTGGCAGTGGTCACCGGTTGGGGTCACACGAGTTTTGGCGGCGCTGGGAGTCCGCAGCTCCGGCAGGTGTCGCTTCCCGTCTGGAATAACACGTGGTGTGACTCGTCATACAGTGTGGACATCAGTGACCAGATGTTGTGCGCCGGAAACCCGAAGGGCGGTAAGGACTCGTGTCAGGGAGATTCAGGCGGTCCGCTGATGCTTCAGGGGCCCAATCAAAGGTGGATGATCATCGGCGTGGTTTCCTGGGGTATTAAGTGCGGCGAACCCAATCAACCCGGTGTTTATACCAGGATTAGCAAGTATATTGATTGGATCAGGGCTAATTCTAATGATGTTTATAAATAAACTGTTTAATTGCCGTAATAAATGTTGTACAGTATATTTGTATTTATTTATTTTTGTGCAGAAAGTTATTTTTGTGTACATTATTTTGAAAATGCTATTAATATTTGGTTTAAAGTGTATTTTAAATGATTATGGTATTTATTTATTGTTGTTTTGTTGTCAATTTCTATACGATGAGACAATCGTATTATTTAATGTGAAAATTGTTTGCAGATTATTAAAATTACAGTTTATTTTTGATACACATGTTGCAAACATTTATAAATTTAAAGTTTTAATTTAGATTTTAATTTTATAAATAACAATTTAAGTTAATGAGATGATAGGTTTAAATTAGTTTATATAAAAACATTTGTTTTGGTAAAACTAAATTTTAAGTGATTAAATACATGTTCACTACAATTGTATCATTCATTTCAATTTCTTTAATGATATGAAACTAATCGACATTTTTGTTATTTGTTTGATTTATACCGTAATTACAATATATTTGGTTTGCTTTCAATAAACTCATAAAATTGAGTGATTATAAGTGAAAAGTCAATTGAAAGTGTCGTTGAGATAAGCATTTATTTGATTGCAAATCACAAATAATTTCCCAAAAGTGTTAATAAACTTATTTCGCAAAAGCAAAGAAAATAAAACTTTTGATTACTTTTTTCCGTTACAATGAGTTTTGATGTCTAATAATTAGATAATGATTACACTTTCAATACATTTAATGTCTGTCACTATTTATACCACCAGAGAAAAGAAAATTTAAAAATAAATAAATATATTTAACAAATAAAATACAAAAATCAAAAGTGTAATCAGTTTTCTAATGACAGACAAGTCTTTCTCAACTTTCATAGAGATGTGCCCAACAATTGAAAAGGCATTGAATGTCACCCAACACTGGACGGACAGTTGACGGCTCACTTGACTAACGATGGATAGCAAAAGTGGTGTATATAAAGTCACGCAAACAAATGATATAAGACATACAAAACCTACACTACAAGTGTTTTGATGTACACTATATGAAGTCCCATATAGTGTACACAATATGAATCCACCGCCCGGTGTATTCCTGCGCCGGCTGTTCACCCGACGGGTTATACTGTTATTGATAAACACGTTCAATATTAAGGGCGATAAACATGAAGGAAAATCATGCGACAAGTCCTTCGAGAAGGGTCTGGAGCTCGGCATGTCTATGGCCAGAAACTCCTGTCCCGGACCAGGTTTGCGGCCATTATCAACAGGATTTGCGTAAGTAATTAGTCATGTAATTGTGTGCACATTTTAATTATCATAATTTGATTTAAGCGCTTCGACCGACTCATTGACATACGCCGAACCCATGACCTCCCAGTCCTCGTCCGCCTCCGCCTACTCCGCCTCCCGCTCCCCAAAGAGTGTAAAAGTTCCCGTTTATATACGCGATAATGATAAACATATCCCCGTTGATGATGGTTATAGTGATGATGGTTATGATAGCGATTCCAATCGAGATCAATTTTATAAATATAACAAATATAAAAAGTACTACAGTGATGATCATGATCGTAGTTTATATGATGATGGATGACATTAGCTCTCTCTCTCTCTCTCTCTCTCTCTC